AAAAAGTCAATACTTTTTTAAATAATGAGTGTTGTTTGATAAAAGAATCACTCTGTATAATCGTATATTAGTTGATTCGAACACATCTTCTTCGTTATTTCAAACCAAGTGGTTGTGATCTCTATACCTAATCTCAGTCTTGTTAAGTATTAGAATACTTAATACTTTTTTTGTGTTTCAAATACCTTTTATTTGTATTTATATTCTAGAATACAACATAAATACTTTTTTTCATTCTAATATTCTCAATTCCATTTTCCAATATTTCGTTATGAACTGTTTTAGATTTTTTTCACCTGGTCGGGTGGCACTGTTGAGTGACTGCCCATAAACTAAACGATACCTCCTGTTATTAATTCTTCACTTATGATAATACCGCGATGTAAAGAAGTATTCTAATTAGTAATTATATTGCATAGATTGTAAAAAAAATAAAAATAAATAAAATAAAAGATTTTGTTTTTGAAACATTATTTTATAATGTTTCTAACTTCTGAGAATTCATATATAACTAACTTTCCATAATAGGATAAGAATTAACTAAATAAAAAATGTTTGTAATCTAAAACTTGTAATAGCAATAATAGCATGCATATGCTGATGAAACATTTTAATTGTAATAAATTAAAAAAATATATAAAAGAAATATTTCAATATAAAATATATTACACTAAAAAAAATTATTCGTTAGGTTAGGTTAGGTTAGCCTAATCTAACCTTTTAAATAGGTACTTTAAAAAAAAGTATTTGAATACATTTGAAAAGTATATTCTTAAGAAGAGGTTAGGTTAGGCTATAATCCTATACGGCTATCGCCTATCCAGCGAAGGAGTCGTTGCAATTACTACATACAGTTGTACCTATTCCCAGTATATGAACATGAACCAGTAATTTTACAAGTCCTAGAAACTTATAATTTGTGTTCATAACATGTACATATAAATTTGGTTATAATCTGGAGGGGGATAGCTAGAAATATAAACTATTAAAACACAATTTTTTATACGTACGAAGTTAAGTTAGGATATAACCAATGGAAACTAAAATTAAAGGGTAATATGCAAAATTTCTAGTTTATACTTTATACTAATCAAAATAGTAATATATAATATGTAAGATGTAACCCTGTAATCATGCAATGGTAACTTTAAAAAAGCGGGTAAGTCGTGGATGTCACTCTGCTGTACGGTAGGTTACTGTAATGGATGGGATTAAATTTGAATGCAATGATAGGTATCAATGGTATCATT